CTCCAAAGTGCCCCACGGGGGACCCACCACTCCCTAGCTGCTCGGCCTCCCAGGTGAGCCTCTGCTCAGACAAACAGGCTGCACTGGGAAGAGCCAGGCTCAGGCCAGGTCCCATGGTTAACAGCAGGTGGTCCATAAGCAGCTGTTTAAATCATGTGCCCCTCATTTCCTCTGCAACGGAAAAGAATGTAAATACGTTTTAAACATATAAAAAGTCTCTTTAAACTAATGGGGACCTACTGACTAGGAGAAAAAGAGGTAGATAAAAAAAGCTAATCAGAGAGGCAGTCAAAACCATGGCCAAAACCATGAAAAGACCCTCACTACTAAAGCAAAGAGTTAAAAATACAATCACCTGACACTGCTTTTCCTCGGAGAGACTGATAAAATTTGAAAGATCAGAAAAAGTATGGAAAGAAAGATATTCTCATAATGTTGTTTGGGAAAGTGGGTTACTTTCACCTGTTAGCGAGGGGTCTGCTAGTATCCAACCAAATATTAGTATTAAATTAAATATTAAATATGCACCTCGACCTAGCAAAATCTCTTCTACTACTCTCCTAGAAATCTCTTGCTTATCCAATAGTCATGTGTGCAAAGATGTTCAATGCAGCACTGTTTATAAGTGCCCATGAGTTGGGGGGACAGCAGGACCGATGATACAACACCTAGACTCCAGAATAGAAAACCGCCATTACAAAGAACTAAAAAGACACACTGATTTGTACCGCCAGGGACTATTACCAACCCGGAAAGGTGCCTGACATGCTGGAGCCTCTGAGTTCAATATATGTGTTGAATAAAAAAAAACATATGGACACCTTCCACAGCATCTCACCCATTATTCTATCTCATCGAATTCTTCAGATAACCCTGAGGCAACCCACACAGGCATTCTTGTTCACAGGATGAGGATTAAAGCTCAAAGCACACATGACCTAACCAATCACAAGCCCAAGGTATGGGGCTGATATCCCTCCTGCCTGCAATGAGGTGAACCGCAAAGGGGACCCTAAGTTTTTAGGCAGCTGGAGGGTTAGTCAGTAACTGCTGGCTGATCCGGACGGAATCGCCTTTCCCCAGCCAAGCCCTCTACTAGGTGACACTTGGCCTTCCAGACTGCTGCTCAGGCCCATTGGGCATCGGACAACAGGTCTGAAAGGAGGTCATTCAACAACAGGTCGCCATGGAAACCCTAGCCCCCTTCATGCTCCTAGAACAAAATGGACGGGGAAGGGAAGGAGGAGCATTTGTTAAATGCCTGCATGAGCCAGGCACGAGGAATAGGAATGCATCTCAGTCTTCCTTTGCAAATCACCAAAAGGAAAAGAAACTGCATTGGGAAGCAAAGTCCAGAACAGGTCTGCATCACTGCATAATCTAGGTCAGATGTAACTGCAAGGAAGTTGACTCCTTGTGTAACATCCTCCGGGTGGTCCCTGGTGGCCCTCGTGTGACACAGCTGTGTAGCCAACCTGCCTCTGACACACACGCTACCTGGGCATGCCTGGAACCTCCGCTCCAAACACACCAGAAAAAAGGCCGGACTGATTCCGGAAACACAAATGCTGTCTGGAATAAGCTAGAGGACAGCTAATGCATCGGAGACGGCAGATGTCGCCCTCTGGGCAGAAGGGTCCTCTTCCCTTCCCTCTATCCAGCTCCCACATTATCAGAAAATGGGGGAAATGGTGCTGTGTCGGGACATGATTACCTTGGAACATTCATCTTAATTACAGAAGCTCTTAGTAACCGTTGCTTAGTAACAAACGCATTTGAAATAGATTTGTTGACTTATTAGGAGATGCTCTGAAAAGACCTGAGTGAAATTCACTGACAGAAAAAAAATAGCAAGGGCCTGATAAAGTAAAGACATTTTTTAGCTACAAAAGTACTTACACAGATAGAGTACTAACACATCCCATAGACACCTCTGAGTTTGACAGTATTTGACAGTATTTTCTCCTTCATGGCTGATCTGTTAGGTCTAGAACCATTTCAGGCACAGGTAACTGACCGGAAAGCTATCAAAGCTGTGTGACACAGTCTTAAGAGTTGTCATCGACACAAGATGCTATACAGAAAAAAGCAGGGGCCCCTGGACCTCCCCAGCTCCCCAACATCCTTCCTGGCAGGGTGTTTGAGTGCTTCTTTCCATTCAAGATTTCAGAAATGCCTGAGGCTTCTGGTGAGTTGTCAAGTCAGAAGGCAAAAGCAGGCAAAGCTTCGCCTCAATCTTTCCAAGAATATTTCCTCTGCACCTGTTAATAAAATCTGTGATCAAAGTGGCGAGGGAAATGCATTTCAGGATGACACACTGCATGCATCTTCCCCAAGGCGAATCCCCAACCCCATAGTCTTGTCATGGGCCATGACCTCCTCCTGTTTTCTGACAAGACTGCTTGCCATTCCCACCTCATAGACTTGGATCCTTCACTCACTGCCTCAGAAAAACGATCCCCTCAGCAGAGCAAGTCCTTCCCCTCCCTGAGTCCTTCTGGTCTACCTCTGGCCCTGTTTCTCCTCCAGTCTCTTCCCCATTCTCTCTGACATGCTGGGCATCTTAGCTTCCTATCTGGAGACATCTACGGCTGCGTAATGTTTCTTCCTGAGTGCTTTCAAATCCTGCCTCTCCCCGTCTTCAAAAGGCATCTATGTTCCCTCCCTGGTCTTCTGATGCTGTAGGTCTCCTCTGCTTCAAGTTTACCCTGGCCCAAGCCAGCAGCCTCCCGGAAGGAGGGGAGAGAACATCTGCTCCGGCCCAGAACTTGGGCTGTACACGGGCAGCTGTGTATTTACTGTGGCTGCCTGGCTCCCTGTGCATTTGAACTTGACACTTCATGCATCAGTCTTCACACTGGCCTTGCTGTGCCCACCCAACTTCAACCCACTCTGGAATTCCTTCATGAAACAAGTATTTATCAAGCATCAGCATGCCAGGTATGGTTTTTAGGCAACCATGATACAATAATAACCAAAACAGCAACAAAGCATTCTCATATCACTGAGTTCATGGATAATTACCCAGTTTCAGTCACACCTGTAATCCCAGCATTCAGGAAGCTGAGGCAGGAGGATCATCATGAGTTCAAGGCCAATCTGGGCTACACAGTGAGTTCAAGGCCAGCCCGAACTACATAGTGAGACCCTATCTCAAAACATTAAAAAAATAAGGAAAATTTTTAAAAATTAAAAAAGAATTACCAAAGTAAATGTAAGTACCAAGAACTATATGAGGCTATAAAAGTTTGGTTTTTGAGACAGGCGCTTGCTATATAGTACAGGTTGGCTTTGAACTCACTATGTAGCCCAGGCTGACCTCAAACTCAAAGCAATCCTCCTGCCTCAGCCTCCCAAGTACTGGATTTACAGGAGTGTGCCACTATGCCCAGTAAAAGTTTTGAAAATAGGGTTGGAGATACAGCTTAGTGGTATAGCACTTGGCTCGCACGCACAAGGCCCTAGGTTTGATTCCCCAGAACTGAAAGAGAGAGATAGAGAGACAGAGAGAGATAGAGACAGAGATAGAGAGAAAGACAGAACTATAGCAGGCCAGGGAAGGCATCCCTGTAGAGAACAGAGAGACAAAGGGTGACAGGCACCAAGTGGGCGAAGTCTGCAGTGGCAGAGTGCGAGGAAGAAGATGAACCCATGCAAAGGTCCTGCTCCTTTTCAAGTCATTTCCCTCAGCAGGTCTCTTTCTGAGTTATGTTTCTCTTTCAGCAAATCAGTATCAACTTCTAAACTAAATAAAGCCTCCCACTGCCAAATCAGAGGAAGGATTGTTTTGGAAAGACTCAAGCTGAAATATAAAATGACGGAGCCTAGGTTTTCAAACATATATTTACAAAAATATTTTTTCCGTATTTCAATACCCTAGTTTATTTGCAGCTCGCTTCTTTTTTAAACGAAGAGTTTAGATGTGAGTATTGCCAGTTTTCGCTTCTCATCAACTTTCCGACAAATTCTGCGAGGAACAGCTGTTCCCATAAAATTTAATTCGCCACTTCTCCCCAAAAAGAGGCAGTTGGATGTAAAATAAGTTTGCCTTCCTGTTCATATTTCACAACCAATTAAAACTGAAACAGGGAACCCCCACCCCGGAGGCTGCTTCCGGGACCTACACAGGCCCAGCGTGGGGGGCAGAACCCCGAGTCCCAGTGCCGAAGAACAGACCACGGAGCGCCAAAGCTGGCACTGCCAAGAAAGAAACTGTTGGGGATGGTTGGCAAATACAAAACCGAGATGTGAAAACTTCAGGATGATCAGCTGTGCAAATCGAGTTCCATGTTTCCAAAATTTAAAGGACGGAAGCCCGGGCGTGCCTGTCAGCCCAGCACTCAGAAGGCTGAGGCAAGAGGACGGCCGCACGTTCAAGGCTAGCCTGGGCTACATAGTAAGTTTGAGGCCAATATGAACTGCAGAGCAAAGCTCTGTCTCAAAAAAACAAACAGAAAAAGTTTAAAAGATGGATGGTACGTACTCCTAGCTGACCGTGGTAGGAAACATCCTTGGTATGACTTCTGAATGAAAGTCATACTCAAAGCCAACAGGCTGGCAAGCTAACATACGACGTTTATTAGTAGCTCCCAAAATAAAATCTTCCTTGGAATGTTTTCCTAGGTGCCCGGATCATAGTGGAAATAAACAGGAGGTACAACCATGACCAACCTCTTCACAATGGCTGCAGAACAAGGTCCCACTGTCCCAATCCACCCCCAACAATCTGGGTGTCCACACTCAGAAGCAGTGACAGAACATTTTCTTGGACAGGCCCAGAAAAATGAGCGATGCTGCGCAGAAATACACAGCATGTTGGGAGGTCCCTGGAGCCTGGTCACCCTGGAAGGGCAGTGAGGGGAGGGCAGAGGGCGGAGCCGAGAAGCGGGATAAACAAGTCATCCTGCCTGCTCCCCCAAGTTCCCCTTCAAGCAGCCTAGGCCAGCACTCAGGAAATAAAAGCTTTCTGCACATACAGCAGCACACACCATGTATCTCACCCCGCACACGTCAAGGCGGTGACCGTCACGGGCAGTGACAGAAACCACCTGTGTGCTCCGCATTCTCGGACACTCCTGTCCTGGCAACTCCCAGGGCACCAAACTCCCTCAAGGTCCTGGCTTTGTGATAACTCTGGGTTCATTTTTCTGACAAATCTATTGCCCTTTACACCAAACGTTCGACTGTCCCTGCGCTTCCACACACAAAGAGCCCTTTTTGGGGCAGTTTGTACTGGATTTCCACAGCAGCTGGTGTCCCTGCCCGGCTCCTTCTAAACCCAAGCCACACTTACTGGCACTATCTCCCTTCTCGGCTTGATTTTTCTCTTTCAAGTTCATCACTTTCTTTTTTTTCTTTTTCTTTTTTTTTTTTTTTGTAGTTCATCAGTTTCTAACATGTTAGGTATTGTTTTATTTTGGGCTCAGTTCTTCCCACTAAAACAGAAGTTCCACAAGGGTGGGGATCTTTAGCTGCTTTCTGTGTAGCTGCTTTCCCAGTGTGCAGTGCCTGGCTCACAGTAAATGCTCAATTAATAGTAAGAGAAGGATGTATTCCACTACTGACTAAATAAATGTGAGGGTAACTGAGTTACCATTATCAAGAAGTGGGACAGAGGAGGCAAGCCTTCCTGGGCTCACTGCACAAGGAGACAGAGTCAAGCCTAATTTTATTTCCACCCAAATGCCCAAGAAATATGGGATTTCAACACAGGACAATCCCCAGGGAGTTCCTGGCTCATCGGTCCAGCCATCCCTCCACCACCCTCAACAGTCAGGAAGTAACCTTCCGGTTTAGACTCCAGGGTCAGTAATTCTTTTTTTTTTTTTTGGTTTTTCTCCGGTACCGGGAACCGAACCCACGACCTTGCGCTTGCCAGGCAGGCGCTTTTGCCGCTGAGCTAAATCCCCAGCCCCCAGTAATTCTAATATGTTTCCAACCCATTCATCCCAGGAATTCCATTTGCACCCAATAAGCATCCACCCACCCACATTTCCCAATATTACACACTGTCCCTGGGCTATTCCTCACATCATAGGCCAGCAGGTCAGAGATACCCACCATTCATAAACATCCAATACAAATCCAGAGCAAGAGAAGCCAAGAAAAAAACAGAAAAGAGATATCATTTCACCCTCCCTTTTCACTAGCCCACCCAATCCAACACCAGGTAACAGTATACTGTGCTTGGTTCCAGGCACAAATTCCACTCTGAACTCGAGAACCACACGACAGGAACTTAACTTCCTATCTGGAGAGACGAAAGCCCCACATATCAAGCTCTGATCAAGAAATCCAGCAACCACAACTCTTTTCCTATTTGTTCTTCTAAAGTGAAAAGTGACCTTGGAAAAAATAACTCCACAACGTCCCTGTGTGTAGCAACGGGTAACAGAATAACTCTAAAGGAAACCAACATCACCGCGTGTACTAAGAACCAAAGTCTTCGCCCCCCCTTCCTCTGTGGATTTCCTCTGGGCACCTATCTGCTTGCCCTAAGCTGTGCACCCTATGCCATGGCCTTCCAGCTTACCTGCACGCAGTGATGATGGGAATGTCTGGTATTTATGGGCAGATACTTTCCATGTATCATCTCATGTGCACCTCTTAGCAACGCTAGGTGGCAGTTGCTATGGGTTTTGGGGAGACATTTAAGATCTAAACCATAGCTGGGTGTAGTGGTACACGCCTGTATTCCCAGCACTCAGAAGGCTGAGGCAGGAGGATTGCCATGAGTTCAAGTCCAGGAGGCTGTCTCAAAAAAAAAAAAAAGATCCAAACTGTAGTACCATATTATCTCAACACTGAAATAAAAAAAGTCTCATCTGAAAGCTCAGGCTCATAGTAACTTTGCCACACAGCAAAGTTACAA